CAAGTCATATCCTCGACAACCGTTCGCGAACAGATGGAAAGAATTGGTAAAGATGGCGCCCCTTGGATGATTCATCCCAGCGTTGTTGCCATTCGTCTACGAGGTCATTATAGACATCGGGCTGCTGTTGAAGCAATCTTGTAATTTTACCGCGATCCCGCGCGCCCAAAAAATCGCATTCCATGTTTTGTTGTCTTGAATAGTACATGGCTGCACGTCTCTGCACCTCGAGATCGACCGGAAGCACACCCGCCAACACCGGCAAAGCCTCAGTGCTAACCGTCCTACATACCTTGTACAAGAATATCAGTGCAAATCGTTGGCCTTGTAACAGTTTACGGCGGACAGCGCCTACGGTCGCCCTATCGGCCCATGCAGATGCACCATAGCATATAGAACCTAAATAAGTAGCTCCGTATATGATCTTTAATCTATTAAATGATAGACCCCATGTCGCAGTTGATATCCTTGTCAATGCACAGAAACTCTTTTAGGACTTTTTTAGGATTTATCGAACATATTAAAATAGTTCGTTAACTATTTTAATATGTTCGATAAATTAAAAGTTGCTTTCAAAAACTAATCCTAAATAACACACTGAGGTTTTATTTTTTATAGTGACATTGTTAAATTTAATGCTCGGCGGTGATTTGAGGTAACCTTTTAAAAGTAGCTGGAAGGTTTTGTTGGGTGCAAAAGTTAAGCGGTTACGTTCATCCCATTGAGATATGAAGTTCAAACATCTATTGGCTAATCAAGCTCAAGCCCCGCCCTAGTATCAGATTCCACCAGTAATAAGCCGTCATCGGCATACGCGTTCAGAGTACATCCTAATGGTATTGGTATCGCAAGAAAATCGTCAAAGCCGATATTCCACAAGTACGGACCTAGCACTGATCCCTGAGGACATCCCATTGTAAGCGCCTTCGACACAGAATGATGACCAAGTCTGAGTTTAGTTGTACCTTGTGAAAAGTACGAAGAGATAAGAGAAAAACTATTTTTAAAGCACGCACGTGATTTTAATTTCAGCAACATCATGGGCCACCATGCGTTGTCAAAGGCGCCAGATATATCTAAGAAGTATTGAAATTTTGACTCTGTGACAAGCTTTCTAACCGAGATAACAGCGTCAGTTGTCGATTTCCCCAACGTAAATCCAAATTGTCTATCATGAAATTTGACTCCACCTGGCAGAAGCCGTGGCACTATAAGACGTTCTAAAAGCTTTCCTAACGATGGCAACAATGTGATTTGTCGGTCGATTTAGGGTCATCCGGTGGCTTGTCGCCGCTTTTTGGTATTATACGAATATTACCGCACCGCCATATACGAGGAAATATTCCTTCCGCAATGCAACGTTTAAAGACAGTGAAAATCGTGTTACCCAGCAGTTCCCGGATTCCTCCTATTACAGGCGCAGAGTGCCACAGCATGTGGTTTTAGTCGATCCGATTCCGACACACCACCCCGCCGCGAACCCGGGTGGGGTGACGGCCCGAGGAGGATTCAAACAACAGGTACAAAGAAAAAAAAGGTTTAGCAGTTAGTCAGCATTGTTTCTTACTCTTTTAGAAGGTTGGTAACATAAATATATATAATTAATAAATATATAAGTAGCCACATACGCGGCAACAGACAATTCTCGTCTTCTCTCCGTGTCTGTAAAAGAACATTGCTGACTTATTTTAATGAAGTGAACCTACTCGATCTTTATGGTTAATATCTATATTATGCTGCATTCTACTTCCATATAGGGGGTAGAATCAGAATCAGTGCAAGTTTCTATGTATAATATGTAATTCTACTTCTCCCTCATATAATATTCAGCTTTGAAACCAGCTCAAGTCCCTCAGGGTTCTTTATTTCCATGTTACTAAACAACCTAACAATTAGTTACGTGTTTTAAAAGAGCATTATACGTTCGTATTTATAAATAATTTATTTGCACGCGCTGACCAGTGACTAAGTGCGCGGCTGACACAGTTTTACAACTACCGTGGTAACAGAATGGACACTAACTTTATTTTTAAACGTGATCCTTGCATTGTTTACATTTAACGACTAGTTTTGTGTGGCTACAGGTATGAGCCACAATGTATTAGGTCCGTAGGCGTGTGTTTCATACTATATTTTTCAATAAACAAACAATAATAACTTGACAAATCTCACACACGACAGTCTGATCCCAAACTAGGCAGAGCCTGCCTACTGACACTAAGTAGTGCAAAAACGTATAAGAATGCGTAATACTATCACAAAATTGTACTTCAAAGATTTCATACGTGTAATGCTGAGGGTACCTATAGCAGGATGTTAGAAACTGTTAACTGATATAAGACTTAATTAGTGTTCAGTTAACCCCAGTTCCGTCTAAATTATAATTATAAACAGTAATTCACAGATTAGTTGAGATAAATCACAGCGATATGTAAGTAACAAAAAATATTCATTGTTGTCGAGACAATACGCGGCGAATGCCATTATGTGGCGATTAATTACAGACTCACTTGTGGTTAGTTACCTGATTTCAAGATAAAACTTCTGCAAAGTGCTTCACAGTTTATACCACAGACTATAAGTACTATTTTTTAGCTGATTCATTATATATTAAACCGATCTAACAAAGAAGCACGCGGTCTGCCAATCAGTTAAGTTACTAGTGTTTACAAAATTCTGAACTGGTTTGCGATATGACACTCCCTAATGCTTCCGTATAAGAAACATCACTTTCCGTCGATTACCTCCTCTTCTTACTACCTTTCCTTCTAAAATACTCCCAAAGTATTCATCATCAAGTCTCAAACTGCCCGATGGTCGGTAATAGATTCACCCATAGCGGGCGCACTTTAATAGCTTGGCGGGCAGAACGCTGTGGCAGCGCTGAACGCCAGGCCTTTCCTTAGAGAATAGCACTGCAGGAGTGTGACCAAAATTTTAGTTGGTAAAACGGTGTTTGAAACGCTTTTGTTTACGTCTCGGGAATACATGCGTGAGTTTAGGTATAAGTAGGTGCATGTATAATAACATTGCATTGTATTTTAAATAATATAAAAAAATACCAATTTTAGCCTACTCGTGCCATATGAGGTTTACGTGATAGGTATATAGCAAATGTAGAACAAACTCGACACATAAATGTGACGTTGAAGATGAAAATCAATATTAATTGTGGTATTCGTATAAATTGTGTTGTTCTATGTATCAACTTTATATCTAAATTAACATTTGATTTTACTTTACTCATTTTATAAAAAAGAAAGATATGGCTGTTTATTTATAATCATATAATAATATAATAAGTGTATAATAAATTTAAAATAGTGAATCGATTTTAAAAATGAGGGATTCGTACGAAATTTGCAATAATGTACCCTTGTATGTATCATGTCAATGTATCATTTGTCTAAAAACTCATACCTAATATTGATAAGATAATACGTAGAATATTATGTAGTAGATGTATTTTTTTATTGACCAAGTTGATTATTGTTAGGTAGGTACTAACATCATCAACCACGGTAATATGCAGTTACGAGTTTAAAATTAGTTCCATATACAACTAAGATACTCTAACAGTTATTTTTGTGATAAAATAGAAAAAAATTGGCAAACCGCTTTCTATTCCTGAAATACTATTTACAACAATTGATTTTTTTTGTGTCGTATGGATTATGGGTTCATTACCAATTATTACATTACAATGCGTGAGAAACATTATGCAGACCACTGCGATAATTCGTTTGTTAAAAGGTATATAGCACTGGGCCCGCCATTTTTTAAGCCAATCAGATTAGGCAAAGAGTTGGGAAAACCGGACAGAGAAACCGTTAGGAACACTGTTATGTTACTGTTTTCCGAAGGAACCCGAAAGTCAATTCATCATCAACAACCTCTCATATTCCACTGCTCGAGATAGACCTCTCCTTAGATAATTTAATTTAAAATTTAGGAAACCCCCAACACACATCTTGGATTTGAAATTTGTCATAGTTTATAGTATTCTACTAGTCAAGCTCTTTCATTTGATACCCATATTGAGGGAGTTTTCAAGATTGCCTTCTCTTGCAGAGTTAGCTTCCTTAGTCGGCTCTTACACGATATCCACGGGACGATTTCCACGACGGTGACAACCTGTATTCCTTTGCCGTCACCACACATATGGATCAAGGTCAATTCTCTAAAAATTCGTTCAAAATTCAATTCCGACCTACTCTCGATCTTATAAATGTCATAAAAGGTATTCTAGTAGTAAAGTATTAAACATCCAACATTTGATTATATCGTATTGTGATCATAAGTTGAGTCTTAATAATATTTTTTAAGAATTTAATATAATTTATTAGAGTACAATGTATTTCTAAAATATTATTCTCCAGTATGATTATAATAAAGATGGTTCTTTTGAAGAAAGCTCAATACAAGTGTGTACATTAAATTACTTCATTCGATATTAAAGTTCTATCATTTAAAGAATAATTGATCCTAATTGGATCTTTAAAATCTAAATATCTTTAAAAAAAACGCTGTACTAAAACCGGTAATATATTTTAAGAAATAACGAAAAATAGGAAGAATAGACGCAAGTACAAAAAAGTTAATATATTCTGTTTTCATTAGCTTTTTTGTCTGTTTTGCAACATGAGATGAAAATGAATTCTATTATTATTGTAAGAATGATTTAAGGAAGTACCTATTTGTGTTTTGTAATAGCTCAATCCAATCAATTTAAACTACTTACATGGGTTATAGATAGTACTTGCATAAGTAAAACAAATATTTGGTTTTGTAGCATTGATTTTACCTAATTAATAGCAGTACCTAATTACTCAGATAAAATTATGACATGATGTATCGGAATATCCCGATTATGCGACCTACCCACATGTGTTCCTAGTCCACTTATTCACACACACTTGAAAATTAAACTGTCACAAATTCGTCAAATAACACAAAAACTTAATGAGAGACGTATTTAGTAAACAAAAATGTAAACTAACCGGTACATAGCTTCAACAGTGTGGTTCTCGTGCGATTCTTCGTAAACAACGCGGAGAGATGCGGTATCTACCTTATAAGCAACCTATTTATACAAAATGACACTGTAAAATATCCAACGTGCTCCACGGCGTATGTTTTTTTCGCGCCAAACGGTAAACGACTGTAGGCAGCTGGCCGTACAACCTTTCGGCGGAAAATGCGGGAGGGCGTGGGATCCGATTGTCTACGAAGTGGTTAATCACAACTTTTAGAGTTCTTAATCAAAAATAATAAGTCAAAACCCTAAAAGCATGGACATGATTTCAGATATTTATTTATCTTCACACAAATTAAGAAAACAACTAGATATAGTGCTAAAACCTTCCCGTTCTTTAAAACTACAGTTGTCGTAAAATCCCGATAGTAGCATAAATACTTTAATTTCCATTCGTCGTCTAGACGTTAAAGTTTAAACTAATTTAATACCTTTTAGTATGTGTACCACTTATATCAATATCGCGGACGATATTGTCAGTCTAGTCTAGTATTTGTAACTCTAAACTTACAAATACTAAAGAATGCCATGCAAGATATTTACTAATAACATATAATAGCAGCCTATGTAATACAATATTAGGTACTTAGGCCTTAAAAATGGAGGGAAAAAAATAAGAACAAATCTAAAATTCAAGAGAGTAATAAGTGACAATAAGATTAATAAATATTCATAAACATTCGTAAACAGTGTGTAATCGCCATGTGACAATAAGAAAATACTTCTTAAAAAAGGTTGGACCGACTTCAATCAATACTAACAAAAAACACTAAAAACCTAGGAGCTAAAGTTGATTGCCGTTGTCTGTCTCCGAAACTCATCATCAGATCTAAATGAAATTTAAATGGGACCATTTCGAATAAACCCCTTTCAAAAAAAGATAATTTTGAAAATTCGTCCATATATGACAGAGTTATGCCCATATACATAAAAACAGATATACATAGCCCATATACATAGAACATACATAAAAAATTATAATATAAACATCCGAATTGATAACCTTCTCCTTTTTGAAGTCGGTTAAAATTGAATTACAATTGTTATTTAATAATTATAATACTATTATGTAATCCGTTTCATTCCGATTTACGCACAATAATATAGACACTATATACGGAACCCATCTAAGTATATTACTACTATGACTGCGTATTCTTTCATAATTACATTAACTTGAATTGAATTCCCATCCGCTGGGAATGTTTTGGAGGAAACACGAATCTTAAAGATACCGGACGTTATATCATAGTTATACAGTAGCTAGTTTGACCCTGTCTTAATATACAGAATGAATTGAATTAAGTTTAGTAATTAAACCTCTAGCCTGCTCAAAGATAAATAGTCTAGTTGATTTATGAAACTTGTTTCCGATGCTATATAAAATGCGCTGAATAATAATACAGACTGAGAAGAATAAATGGGAATAATCAACCGCAATTTGAATCCATTAAATTAATTATTAACTAAAAAGATTCGTCGAAAGTTAATATGGATAAAATACTGTACTGTGTTCACAATGGTACTAACACTGTTTTACAATGGTACAAATCACTTTATTTTGCCTATTCATTCCACTTATGTATAGAACTTGACTAAGGCAACCGCCAGTCAAACACTTACCATATACCTAAAAACCAGATCTTAAACTTAAGCCATGTGACTACAAATATTAATAATTGCTTCTGTTATCCAACTTACCGTAGGGTATGTTGTGGCAACATGTATATTTCATACATACTCGTATATAGTCTCTTTGATGAACTTGTAGACTATCTCCCAAGGTGAGCCCGCTTAGGACAAACCTATTCTATGAATATGGGTATCTACTTACATTAACGACCCTAAAAAAATTTGGGAAATTGGCAAGATGTTGAATTTTTCAGATATATTTTTTCTGAATTTCGTAACTTATTTTAAACATGGAAGTATCTTAGTTTACTTTATTTACCTACGACGAAACCACCTTTTTAATAAATACAAGATCGTTCATTTAAGCTATGGTAGAACGACGAACTCAGTTGAGGACATTGCCCCGAGAATCTCCGAGTTATTATCGAACATTGATCACATTGACATTAGACACTGTTCATTTAATTATCTATATAATATCAAACACTATACTGGATCGACCATAAATATGCCTGGAGAAATTTCGAACGAAACGAAAATTCTATGAGCTGATGACAGCCATAATATAGCTCGACGAGACATACCTTTAGTTACATTAAAGATATAGACAACGAGGATATAGGCTATTAATAGCCATATCATCCTCAATCCATCCATCAGAAATAATTAAAACGTAAGTTTTAATTGTCTATGCAAGCAGTCCAACAATGTGAGCAACCAGAATTTATTAATGTGTACACATTGCAGTGTACTTATTTATAATTGTAAGATTGACGTAAGTACAAAAAAAAATGGTGAATGTCTGGAATTCAGTGTTCACTCAATTGACACAACTATGTTACGGTATAAAATATCAGATTAAACTAGCTGACCCGGCAAAAGTTGTTGGGTCACCCTTGTCATTTAGGGGTATGAAAAATAGATGTTGGCGGATTCTCAGACCTACCCGATGTGCAAACAAAATTTCATAAAAATCGGTCCAGCCGTTTCGGAGGAGTATGGTAACTAACATTGTGACACGAGAATTTTATATAGGGGAAGGTGTTGTACCTATGAACGGTTTTACCTGTGGACATCATTGATATTTCAAAAAATAAACACAGAAATTTAACGAATTGAACGCATCCGTAAAGTATTTTTGATGTGTGGCAACGTTGACTTGCTGCCATTTTGTATCTTTTGCTGTGTGACCGGTGACAGACCGTTAAGGGTTTTCGCTCAAAAATTATTTGTCTCTTTTTCGTCCTATTTTTTTGTGAACATATGCAGAATATAGATGATTATTTTTAGTCATACTGTAGTACATGTAGTTAACAATCCATTTACATCGGTATAACGGTGTAAACTAGTACCTATCATGCCGGTAATAGATTTTTAGGTTGTATTGTCTGATTTGTACCTGTGGACATCGAAGTGTATGTACCTATGGACTGTCCACAGGTACAAATTTTTTTTCATTTTTCAGTGTCTCGACGGAAAAACGCGCCGTAGGTTGTGTTCAGAGACGTTATCTGAGGCAATTAAAGAGGCAATTAGTGGATGTTCATTGCGAAAAGTTGCAGAAAAATATAAAATACCAAAATCTACGATATTTAAATACCTTCACATGAATAAGGAGAATGATCTGAGCGAGAACAGGGTAGTTATTTTGAGAAATGACGTGAAGAAAGTATTTGATGAGGAAGAAGAAAAACAGCTTGCAGAATATTTAGATAAAAATAAAAATTCAATCTGCAGAAAAAAGGGTCACAATTCTTCAAGATGACCAGTTACCCTAAGCCATGTGTATGGGATGTAAAAGACATGAAAATGTTTACAAACTGCTCAATTGCTCTCAATGCGATTTGAAATATCACCAGAAATGTGTATCAAGATCACATTTAGATAATTTTGAATCAGATGATGAGTCAGACTTCTTATATCAAAAGTGTTATATTTTAGATGATGGTGATTCAGATGCCTCTGATGATTCTGCCTTAGAACTATATCAAAATTATTTAGATGCCAAAACCAAAAAGAATAATTGATTCTTTAATGTTAAAGTTGATTTATAAAGATATTCTATTTATTTTTGCTGATTTTTATAGGATTATTATGTAAGGATAAGTGATCTGTCCATAGGTACATTGCCGTCCATAGGTACAAGTATTTCTGTCCAGAGGTACAATCATAAGATGTACCTGTGGACAAATTTAGTGATTAAAAAAAAACTGGTTTATTTTAATCAACATAATTCGTACAAAACTAAAGACTGCTAATTTTTAAGTTTTAACTAATCCTGGAACAACATTTGTAATACTTTACGGCTAATAAATAAAAATTAAATTATTAAACCATATTTTCATTTAAAATCCGGCAAATGTCCACAGGTATAACACCTTCCCATACATATAAGATTACAGTTAACTGAGACGCGTCTTGCAATCATTTACAGATCTAGTTAACTTTTCGGTTTTCTGTTTGGTTTAACTGTTGTGCGATGTGATTTAAAAAATTTACATAAATAAAATTTATTTATAAAATTATTTTTTTATTATATGAAATGCTCAATATTCATTAAAAGTTTTAAGAAAAAACTTTGGGTAACCAGAATTAAAATAAATATAAAAGACTTTCACACTGATGCAGCGGTCGGTTCAGCAGACCGATTTTCTTTTGTCAGGGTTCCGAGACAGATAAACTGTTGGGGAAAGGAGTCTTTGTTCATAACAACCCCTACTAAGATATCAAATATGCAAGTTGCCATAAATAAATAAATGCCACTGTTTAATGTTATGACGAGACGATATCGACATACGTTTCCTGAGATATATTAGCCGGAAAGATGCTCGTTGCAAACCAAATCTGATTTAGTCGTTCCGAATCCGACACGCCCACGACATCGTGCCCTCGGGATTCATGAATTGAAAAGACCATCTATAATTTTTTTTAATTTAATCTTAGTAGGTGTTAAATACAAGTGGATGGCAATAAGTTTTTACATCTATACCCTTATATTATATACGGCACTGATGACGAGAACTTGCTTGCTTAACTAATTATAGAGAGATTTGATTACACATAAATGTAAAGTATAAAAACCATGTTGGGTGTATACAAGTTACGTGAGCAATTTTAACAAAAAAGATTGATTTTGATTAGTTTTAATATAAAAATAAGGTTTTAGGTAAGTACATGGTCGACGCTTCAAAGTGACAATGTAATTATTTACACATACACGGTTGGGAAACAAATATGTAAGCGTATATTTCAGTCCTAATAAGTCGGGAAGGTCGTAGTACTTGGTAACGAACTTGACCTTACACAATACTGAGCTACTTCTACTTGAAACAAAGAAGTTA